AGATTGGGTCTAGGGTTTCGGGTTCAGGCGTTTCGGGTTGCGAAATCGAGGCGATGCCGGGTGACCTCTTCACCGCTATCCTCCCGGACTGTCTGCGCCTCGTAGTCACAGGACTTCTGGACCACTGAAAGCGCCCCTGTCTGCATGGCCGCCAGGGAGAGCATGAAGCCCGCGGCCCAAGAGAGGCCGCTCAGGAAATTCTGCATCGGCGTCTTCAGTTCCATGAAGCCCTGGCAGTGCTTAAAGGTTCATGGGACTTACTTAGTAACTAGACTTAGTAACTAGGGTTAAAAATAAGGTAACTATGCTTATAACCCCGATTAAGCTACTTATAACTGTACTTCTTAAGTCCCACGAGCCTCCGAGTGAGCCTTCGCTGTCAGGGGCTTCAGCCGGGAGCTGGCCCAAGCCACCTGCAGCATCCAGATCGCAACCCCAAGGACCAACAAGCAGCTCACCAGCAGGGTTCCTCGGAGCAGTGTGTCTTGCAACCCTGCCAGGCTTGCGTCAACCCTAAACACTACAACCCTAAACCAACACCCCTAGACTCGAAACCCCAAACCCGAAACCCTAAACCCCAAAACCGCAAACCCCCCCCCCCACCCTCTCCCTGCTCTCCCAGGCACCGGCCAAGAGATCCGGCACGCCTTCCGGGCAGCTCTCCATGGCCATCCTGCAAGGTGATCCCGGCAGGGACCGGGTTTGCACAGAAGGGTTTTGAGTTTACAGTAGGTGGTTTAGGAGTTTAGGGCTTAGAACTCTAAACACTAAACTTTAGGGTTTACAGTAGGTGGTTTAGGCCTAATAACCCTGAACACTAAACCCTAGGGTTTGCGTCCGAGCTGCTGCAAAGCCTGCAACTTGCTGGAGTGCGGGAGCAGGGCTGCTGCGCGCTCCAGCACCTGGGCGACCATGAGCATTGCTGGCTCTGGAGGGAGCTTCTGACGGATGCCCGACAATGAGTGCCGAAGCTTCTGACCGCTATCATCTTGCTACATACTCACCGCAGCCGAGGGACACCCAGTGGACTCTCGCCAACTAGCTTGCAAATGCACGTGGGATTTCCATTCCTTGCTTGACTCTTCTGAAGTTGCCATGCATGCAACTAGAGCCCCAGGCGGGAACACCCTTCCTGCAAGCTTCAAAAGGAAGACGACACGAAAAAGAAAGGACGTGGTCAAGGTGGCCGAGCGGCTGGACAGCGCACAGCCTTAGAGGATCTGAGGTTTTTCGGCGCATCTTGTTGATCAGAACCGGCTCGGCAAACACGGCCACGAAGGAGCCGTTGATGGGGTCCTTGCTACAGGGCCGAGATGAGAGGAGAACACCCAAGACAGCCACCTGCTAAGCCTGCAGCTGC